CCAGACTCAGTTCTAGCCAATGAGATGAAGCAGAGTCATCAAGCAAGATTTCAAAAAAGTTCCTTAACAAGGTCAGACATCTGTTCATGGTGAAAACTCTGCAAATGATGGCTAGAAGAGGACCTTCTAAATCTGATAAAGGCCACCTCCAAAAAAACGTTCAGGTAACATCGTACTTAATGGTGAAATATCAAACATTTCCTCCTATGACTGAGAGAAAAGCCAGGGTGCTTGCTCTTACCACTTTTATATAACACTGTACTGGTGGTCCTAGCCATTGCAACAAGGCAAGAAAAAGAAATAAAAGGCCTGACAACTCAAAAGGAGAAAATATTTTGCTATTTGCTGTTGACCTGATTCTTTATGTAGAAAATCCTAAGGAACCCATAAAAATGCTATTAGGAGAAACCGGGTGGCTCAGTTGGTTAAGTATCCAGCTTCGGTTCAGGTCATGATCTCACAGTTTGTGAGTCTGAGCCCCATGTCGGGCTTTGCACTAATAGCTTAGAGCCTGCTTCGGAGTCTCTGTCTCCCTCTCTCTCTGCCCCTCCCCGCCTCTCTCTCTCTGAAAAATAAATGAATAAATATTAAAAAAAAATAAAGATGCTATTAGAACTAAGTGAATTTAACAATTTTACAAACTACAAGGTTTATATAAAAAAATCAGTTGTATTTGTGTATACTAGCAATAAACAATTATAAAATAAAATTAGAAACAAAGTAAATAAACAAAGGAAAAAAGAGACCAACAAAAACAAGTGTCCTAACTGTAGAGAGCAAATTGATGGATGCCAGAAGGGAAGACTGTAGGGGGATGGGTGAAATAGGTGACAGGGATTAAGAGTACACTTATCACAATGAGCACTGAGTAATGTATAGAATTAGTGAATCACTATATTATACACATGAAATTAATATAACACTACATGCTAAAAATAATAATAATGAATTCTAAAAAAAAAAGAAGTGAAATTAAATTTTCATTTGCAATAATGTGAAATAACAAAATTCTTAGGAATAAATGTGACAAAAATGTGTAAGAACTTTACACTGAAAACTACTAAGCTTTGCTGAGAATTGCTGAGATAAATTGAGGACGACCAAAATAAATGAGGGGATTTACTGTACTTAAACATTGGAATATTCAATATTGTTAAGAATCCATTCTTTCTAGATATATATTTTAAATGTTTATTTATTTTTGGAGAGGGGACAGAGAGAAGATCTGAAGCGGGCTCTGTGCTGACAGCAGAGAGAGCCTGAAGTGGGGTTCCAACTCATGAACCACGAGATCATGACCTGAGCTGAAATCAGACGCCTAACTGATTGAGCCACCTGGGTGCCCCTTTTCTAGATATATTTATAGATGTAATGCAATATCAGTCAAATTCCTGTCAGGTTTTAAAAAAATGTTTGTAGACATTGACAAGTTGATTCTAAAATTTATATAGAAATGAAAATGACCTGGAATAGCCAACAAGATTAAAACAGAACAAAGTTGTAGGGTTTATACTACTTGATTTCAAGACTTTATAGAAATTAAGACAATCTGGTATTGAAGAAAGTATAAATATAGATGGAAGGAAAAGAACAGAAAATCAGGAATAGATATGCATATATGTGATCAACTGATTTTCAACAAAGGTGTAAAGACAATTCAGTGGAAAAGGAAAGCCTTGTCAAAATGGTGCTGGGATGCCTCTAAAGCAGCAAAATCTACAGAGGCAGAAGACAATAGTGGGGCTGAGGAGAGAGGAATGGAGAGTTAATGTGTAAAGGCACGGTTTCCATGCGGGATAATGAAAAAAGTTCTGGAGATAAATAGTGGTGATGAGTGCACAACACTGCAAATGTACTTAATGCCACTGAACTGCACACTTAAAAATGGTTAAAATGGTAAGTTTTAATTTATTATATATATATATATATATATATATATGTATATGTATATATATATTTTACCACAATAAAAATATTTTGAAAAAATTTTTAAAGCTTATTTTTATTTATTTTGAGAGAGAGATAGAGAGCAAGCGGGGAAGGGACAGAGAGAAATGAAGACAGAATCCCAAGCTGGCTCCATACTGCCAGCACAGAGCACAATGTGGGGCTGGAACTCACGAACCGTGAGATCATGACTTGAGCTGAAGTCAAGAGTTGGAGGCTTAACTGACTGAGCCATGTAGGCGCTCTTTGAAATAATTTAAAACGTGGCCCGAGGGGTACCTGGGTGGCTCAGCCGGTTAAGTGACTGACTTCGGCTCAGGTCATGATCTCAAGGTTCATGGGTTTGAGCCCGCGTCAGGCTCTGTGCTGAACGCTTGCTCAGAGCCTGGAGCCTGCTTCGCATTCTGTGTCTCCTTCTCTCTCTGCCCCTCCCCTGCTTGTGCTCTGTCTCGCTCTCTCTCTCAAAAATAAATAAATATAAAAAAGAAAAAAAAAGTGGCCCGAAGCAATTGGACATCCCAAAATGGAAAACACAAACAAAATCTAACTTGAAATTAATCGTAGACCTAAATGTTACAACTAAAACTTCTAGATGAAAACATAGAGGTGGGGGGCACCTGGGTGGCTCAGTCCGTTAAGCATCTGAACTTAGCTCAGGTCATGATCTCACAGTTCAGGAGTTCGAGCCCCATGTCAGGCTCTGTGCTGACAGTGCAGAGGAGCCTGGAGCCTGCTTCGGATTCTGTGTCTCCCTCTCTCTTTGCCCCTCCCCTGCTTGTACTCTCTCTCAAAAATAAATAAATATTTTAAAAAATTAAAAAGAAAGAAACAGAGGAAAATTTTTGTGATCTTGTGGTAGGCAAAGATTTCTTAGGACAAAAGAATATTTTTGTGTCCAGAATATATGAAAAGATACTAAATTTCAGTAATTCTAACTACCCAGTTTTAAAAAAATGAGCAATAGACTTGAACAGGCATGTCACAAAAGAAGACACATGAATGGTCTATAAGCATATGAAAAGAGGCTCAGTATCATCAGGGAAATGTATATTTAAACACACAAGGAGATACCGCTGCGCATCTATTAAAATGGGTAGGATTAAAAAAAAAAGTCAATGCCAAGTATTGGCAAGAATGTGGAGGAAAGGAAAAAGTTAAAGGAATTTAAAACGATACTACCATTCTGGAAAAACGGCTTGCCAATTTCTTAAAAAGTTAGCATACATACATCTACCATAAGACGTAGCCATTCTAACCCTACATTTTACCCAAGAGAAATGAAAGCAAAAGTCCACACAAAAACTTCTACACAAATGTTCATAGCAGTTTTATTCATAATTGTCCCAAACTGGAAACAACCCAAATATACATTTCAACAGATGAATTGACAAACAAAATGTGGTATCTTCATAAAATGGAATATTCCATAGAAAAGGATGACCTGAGTGAAGTTCATCCCTAGAAGGGCTTCCCTTCAGGACAGAGGGCAGGGATGAGCAGGTGGAAGGCTACTCTGGCAGAAAGTAGGCCAGGGCTGCCCTGTCATTGAGGAAATCCAGAAGGGGGGGCTGGGAATCACTTTTTAAATTAAATTAAATTAAATTAAATTAAATTAAATTAAATTAAATTAAATTAAATTAATTTCTGTTAATTAAAAAATTAATTAAAAATTTTTAATGTTTACTTTATTTTTAAGAGAGAGAGAGAGAGAGAGAGAGAGAGAGAGAGAGCATGAGCAGGAGAGGGGCAGAGAAAGAGGGAGACACAGAATCTGAAGCAGGCTCCAGGCTTTGAGCTGTCAGCACGAAGCCTGAAGTGGTTCACTCCCACAAATCGTGAGATCATGACCTGAGCTGAATTCAGATGCTTAACCGACTGAGCTACCCAGGGGCCCCTAGAGACTCCTTTAAACTACTATTCCATTTACAATCCATGTGCCTGTCTTCCAATACTGGGATGGATTTATGATTTAAAAATATACATCATTCTTTTTAACACTACTGTATTGTATACCTAAAAATGATTAAGATGGTAACTTTGATGGTATGTATTTTTCACCATAATAATAAAAAAACCCTACATAGTTCTTGATTTGTCAGTGATCTTTGGTTAGGGGGAATGGGTCAACATGTGAGCAAAACTCAGTCTTGCAAGAAAATGTCATTGGAATCCTAATTGTGAAATTATATAGGCAGATATTTCTAACTTTTAATTTCACTATTAAAATAATATTTAAAATCTAATGCTCTTTCTAAGATTATACAACAAAGATCAGTCATCCCCACACATCACTCTGTTTTGCCACTATGTATGAAAACGTTCACTAGGATGCATTCCTTGGGTTGAAATGACAGAAACCAGATCTGAACTAGCTTTATGATGTTAATAAAAACTCGAGTGTTTATGTTGCACCACGCCTATGGTCAGCATTTCACGTCCATTTATCCCATCTAGTCCACACAATGGCCCAGGAGGCCAGAAGCCAACCTGTGAGCCTTGCCTCATACTCAGCAACTTGAAACAGGACCTGGCATGTAGTCAGAATGAATGAAGGAATGAAATAATTCCTACCATTGTCCTCAACTTACCAGAGCATGGAGCTGTGCTCTGGAGACATAGGAAAGACATAGGAAAGCTAGGCCTACCCAGCTAGGCCACCCAGGTGTTTGGAGGCAGAACTGGGACTTTAATCCAGGCACCTGCTATAAGGACAGCCCTTCAACCCATCCATTATGTGGACTCTCAACCCAGAAGGGAAGTGTATTGGGTCTCCAAGAGAAGCAGAAGTGCTTTCAGATTTCAGGCACCGTTTAGGGACTTACCCTTCAGAGCCTTCCTTGTCTCCCGTATCTATATTTCTCTCAGTGTTGTTGTCTTCTCAAGGCTGGAATCTTGGTCACCAGTAGCTACTGAGTTCAGATCTCTCTTATGTATCTCAAGAGTGGAGAAACAGTTATAAGAGGTAAAATCCCAGGGCAGGATTGTCACTTGCCCTGGTGGATCACATGTACACTGCCATGGTTCAGGTCCTGGTTTCTACTGTCTAGCCATACATGACTTTGGACAAGGTAAGTTACTTAGTCTGGATGGCTTTTGTTTCCTCATCTGCTAAATGAGAACAATAACAGGGGCTGGCTAGTGAAGGACATGTAGTGCTCAAACACCTTAGTAAGTAATTTATTTTCATAATTCTTGTTACATATTTCCTTTTTATTTAAGCAATTTTCATAAAGCCTTGTGGTGGTCTCTCTGTAGAAAAGTCTCACTGTGAAGTTGTAACTATTGCCTGACCCCATAAGCTTTGGAGTTTGGGTTATTTCATTCTTTGTAGTCCCCAGGACCACCAAGCTAAGAAATTACCATGAAAGTAGTCCTGGAACATTAAAAAAATAATAATAAAAAAAAAATAAAAAAAGGGGCACCTGGGTGGCTCAGTCAGTTGAGCGTCTGACTTCGGCACAGGTCATGATCTCGCTGTCTGTGAGTTCGAGCCCCGCGTCGGGCTCTGTGCTGACAGCTCAGAGCTGGAGCCTGCTCCAGATTCTGTGTCTCCCTTGCTCTCTCTGCCCCTCCCCCACTCATGCTCTGTCTCTCTCTCCCGCAAAAATAAATAAACATTAAAAAAAAAATTAAAAAAAAAAGTAAAAGTAGTCCTGGGATAGGGGCACCTGGATGGCTCAGTCAGTTGGGTGTCTGACTTTTGATTTTAGCTCAGGTCATGGTCTCACAGTCATAAGGTCAAGCCCTGCTCTGGGCTCTGCACTGATCCTTGAGCTTGCTTGGGATTCTCTCTCTCCCCTTCTCCCCCTTTTCCCCACTCAAGCATGCACACGTGCACATGCTCCCTCTCTCTCAATAAAAGAAAAAAGTTAAAAAAAAAAAAAGGAGTCCTGGGATAGTGGCACTTCTCTGAAGGGACACATTTAGGCTGCTTAGGATTCCTGCATAAATACAGGCCCAATTGAGTTCATGGCCCCAAATTACAAAATTTTCACAGAAATAATCTACCATGAGTGACAGCCAGTAGACACCACAAAGAGCAAGATTAGACCCCCCAAAAAAGTCATACAATGGAACTATTGCCTAGAAATTTAAAAATAAATAGTTTTAAATGATTAAAGATAAGAGAAGACATTTTTTAAGTTGCATTAAATAAAAAAGAAAAACCCATATAAAGAAAGAGAGAGCAGATTTGATAATGTACCAAACTGAACTTCTAGAAATAAAATCAATAGTCATTGAAATAGAAAACTATATGGAAAAAACCCCCAACTATATGGATAGAATTAACAGCAGATTAAACACAGTCAAAGAGAATATTAATGAGGTGGAAGTCAGAATTGGGAAATTATCCAGAATATAGCACACACAGAGGAAAAAAAAAGTACTGAGAGGAAAATAATTGTCAATTTCAACTTCTACATTGCTAAATTTTCATTCAAGAAAGAGGGCAAAATAAGAAATTTCAGAGACTGAAAGAATTTATCACTACCAGACATTCATTAAAAATATCTGAAGAAGGAAAATATAAATATCAATAAAAATATCTGAAGAAGGAAAAAGAAACTTCAACCTAGAAGGAAGAGTGAGTGAAGAAACAGGTTCACATATGGCCAAATCTAAACCAGTGCTGACGGCTCCACAGTGAGAATAACAATGAAAAACATTAATTTGGAGGTGAAATGGCAGGGACAGGAACCTAGAGGATGAGAGAAATGATTGCAGCTAAAGCGTTCTAGTTTTATCATTACACAGAAAAGAGATAGAGATAGTAAATGACTTTAGAACTTGTTAATTATGCATGTTGAAAATTTAAGTGTATTTATGAAAGTGATAGGCAATGCATAATTTCCAAACCAATGGAAGTTGAGGGAAAGGGAATTATAGAATACTCGATCCATCCAATTCAGGACAGAAAGGGAGAAAAAAGAAGCATAGAGAGAAAAGGTAGACAATACAAAGGAAGACGGTAAAAATGAATTAAAGCATATCATCAAACATAATAAACACACCATTAGAGGTTTAAAACTGTAAAATTGATTTAAAAAATCTAGCTACACAGACTGTACATCAAATTCATACCTAAGATATAAGGAACATAATGGAAAAAGATATATGAGGTCAACACTCACACACAAAAAGGACTGTGGTATACTAATTGGTGGAAAAAACAAAATTAAGGCCAAAAGCGTGATTAGGGATAATGAGGGGTACTGTATAATGACAAAAAGAATAATTTATCAGGAGGCTATAATAACTCTAAAGCTGTTAACAGTTAAAAATACTCTCAAAACATTTAAAACCCAAACTGGCAAATTTCACGGAGAGACCGCTAAAACCACTATCATAGCAGTGCGATTTTAACCCATTTCTCTTGGTAATTTATAAATCAAGTAGATGTAAAATTAGAAAAGGCATAGACTACTGTAATAATGCAATTAACAAGCTTGATATAATGGAGATTATATATCCCCATGCATCCAATAATTCCTATTAAACAGGAAACTTGCAGGGCATGTATACCACTATAAAGAAAGTCTTCACAAAATCCCCAAAGATCAGTATTATGCAGACCTCCTCCTTCTCCCACCATAATGCAATAAAATAAGAAATCAGCAACCAAAGTTTAGTCTTCCCTCCAAAAAACCTAGTATACATTTGAAAATGTAGGGGCGCCTGGGTGAAGTGTCTGACTCTTGATTTCAGCTCAGGTCATGATCTCAGGGTTCATAAGTTTTAGCCCCAAGTTGGGCTCTGCACTGGTAGGGTGGCACCTGCTTGGGATTCTTTCTTTTTTTTTTTTAATTTTTTTTTAACGTTTATTTATTTTTGAGACAGAGAGAGACAGAGCATGAACGGGGGAGGGTCAGAGAGAGAGGGAGACACAGAATCTGAAACAGGCTCTGGGCTCTGAGCAGTCAGCACAGAGCCCGACGCGGGGCTCGAACTCATGGACAGTGAGATCGTGACCTGAGCCGAAGTCAGATGCTCAACCAACTGAGCCACCCAGGCGCCCCGGGATTCTCTCTTTCTTCCTGTTCTTCCCCAATTTATGATCTTTCTCTTTAAAATCAATAAAAATGTAATTTTAAATAAATAAATAAATAAATAAATAGATAGATAGATAAATAAAATAAAAAATGGGGGGCATCTAGCTGGCTCGGGTCAGTGGAGCATGCAACTCTTCATCTCAGAGTTGTGAGTCCAAGCCCCATGTTGGGTGCAGAGATTACTTAAAAAAAATTTTTTTTTCAACGTTTTATTTATTTTTGGGACAGAGAGAGACAGAGCATGAACGGGGGAGGGTCAGAGAGAGAGGGAGACACAGAATCGGAAACAGGCTCCAGGCTCTGAGCCATCAGCCCAGAGCCCGATGCGGGGCTCGAACTCACGGACCGCGAGATCGTGACCTGGCTGAAGTCGGACGCTTAACCGACTGCGCCACCCAGGCGCCCCGAGATTACTTAAAAAGTAAAAAAAAAATCCTGGGGTGCCTGGGTGGCTCAGTTGGTTGATCATCCAGCTCTCGATTTCAGCTCAGGTTATGATACCACAGTTCGTGGGTTTGAGCCCCGTATCGGGCTCTGTGCTGACAGTGCAGAGCCTGCTTGGGATTCTCTTACCCTTTCTCTGCCCCTCCCTCCGTCTCTCTCTTTCTCAAAATAAATAAATAAACATAAAAAGAAGAAAATGTAAGTGAGCATACTTTCAGCAATTCCCAAGCCAAATAAATAATTGATATTATAAGATCAGAACAACACGAAATTAGAAATACGACTTATCAAGACTTAAGGGACATAACTAAAGTGGCACTTGGAAATGGACAACCTTACACGCTTATTGTGAGAAAAGAGAGACTAAATGTGGAGTTAAATATCCACTCAAAAATTGGAAAGAGTCATGACACAATAAAAAAGTGGAGAAATATCACAGAATAAAACAAAATAGAAAATAGAGATGATTAGCAAAATAATAAAAAAAACCCCTGATTCTTTAGAAATAGCTTGTATTCCCAGAAATTAAAGTGAACAAATTAGACTCAGGATGAAATGGAACCTAAATATACTGATAGACATTAAATAACTAGAAGCAACAAAAAACCTACCCACAAAAAATACACCAGATCCAGACAGTTTTACAGTCAACTCAACGTTCAAGGGTTCCTGCCTCATGTGTCCTGTGCTGGAGTCTGGGAGAGGGTCTGATGTGAAAACAGAAAGGTGGGTGTGAAGAGCCTGTGGGTTGGAGCTTTTATTTCTCCACTCGGCACATATACGCTGCACATCTATGGGGCACCAGGCACTATTCCAGGGCTGTGGACACACCAGTGAACCACAGGAGCCTATGTCCTCATAGGGCAAGACAGACACTAAACAGTAAGGAAGTGAGTATGTTAGAAGAGGTGCTGCGGAAGAAAGAGTAGATCAGAGGAAGGGGCGCAGCAGTGAGGGGAAGGAGGGTACATTGAAGAGAAGGGCAGTCAGTGGAGGGCTATGAACAGAACACCCCACCGAGTTGTCATGGAAACCAAGGGGGAGTCTGGGGAGCTGGGAGAGGGCCCCACAGGAGGGCAGGTTGGGATTTGGAAGCGGGCCCCAGGAGTGTAAAAGGAGGAAGGGGCACAGTGGAGCTGAAAGGAGGCAAAAAACTTTGTCAGGAGAGAGCCTACCACAAAGGCCAGGAAGGGGTGGACCACCAATGCTGGAGGGGCCTTAAGAATGTCATGGTTTGGAGTATCAAGTCAAAGGTGACAGATGATTGATGTTTGGGAGGCCGAGGGAGCATGTGTGGTGGAAGTGGGGCACGGGAGGCGGCATGGTTGTGGGCAGGGGCCCATACCAGAATGAGTCTGCCCCGTGCCAGGCATTGGGCCAGGCGCTTTGCCTACATGAATTCCCCCCCCCAGGCCTTATGAGGCCTGTCTTGCATCTGAATATGTGTGGTGGGAGAATGTGGGAAAAATATCTTTCTGGAATCTTGGTCTGGATGGAAGGAGTGGGAAGCAGAGGGCCATAGGCCTGGTGACCCCTCACCTTCAAGGACAGACATAGGCGTGCAGAGGGGGCTCGGCTGGGCTGTGGAGGGGGGCAGTGGCAGGCAAAGGGTGGCCCTGCCTGAGAGGTGGAGTCAGGCGGAACCCCGGGCTGCTCGGGAGTCTAGGGGAGGTGGTGAGGGGCCTGGTTCTTTTATTCTCAACGAAATGAAGGGCAAAGACACCCACTGTCCTTTGCCTTCCTTCTCGATAAACCCATCATGTTGCGGGGATGGAAGGACATAATGTGGGTAACGTGCTTCTGGGTATTGTTATTTTTGCTGTTTGCTGGGGTGGTGGCAGAGCTGGGGGGATGTGCAGGCTTGGAATTCATTCATTATGTGCCCACCCTAAGTGCCAGGCACTTTGTGGAACCAGCACAGAACTGAGCAAGGCTCTGGTATCTCCCGGGCAGTGCCAGGCCCAGCTGAGCCTGGAGACCATAAATCTGTTGGTTGCTGATCAGCAGATATGAGGTTTTCTCCCCAAAGGTTTGATGGCCACGGTGCAGGACTAGAGTGGGACTCACCCTGGGCAGTAGGTTGGTAGAGGGAGGCCTGGGAGGGGCTCCTGTGAAGTCCAGGCTGGGTGGGCATGGTGGCAGGGCCAGTGCAGAGGTCTGGGGCTGCTCCTCTTGGGCTCCTTCCTTCATCCACCCAGAACTAAGGGCTCTGCTGAGCATGTTCATGGCCTAGCTGCCAGCCACAGCAGGATGAAAGGCTGGGAGCAGGAGTGAGGGCAGGTGGGGGTTGTGGTGGGAGGGCTGGGCAGGGCAGGGTGGGCAGGAATTGTGGGCCTGGATTGCTTGGTGGTGGGGGGTGGGGTGGGGCAGGAAGATAGTGGAGACAGGAGAGGGGCTGGGAAGCATTAGTTTCCTCTCTCCAGGGCTGGGCCACAGGAAATCCAACCCTCGCGCTTCCCAAGGTGCTTCCTGAAGATAAAAAGTAGGCTTCTGACGGCCCCTTCCTGCTCCCCCCTTTCCCCAGCCCTCCCATCCTGCCCCCAGCCCCCAGGGGACCATCAGCTCTAGCACTCAGGCCAGACCAGTGGCCTTGGGAAGAGCCTGGACAGGGGGGTGGGAGGTCTGGGCATCCTGGGGCCACACTT